CAGAGTTGAACGAGCGATATTCGGTGGATATAAGTGCACGCACGGTACGAAGGAAGCTCTATAATATTGGCCTCAAAGCGAGAAGGCCAAGAAAAAAGCCTCCTCTAAATGCAAAAATGCGCACGGCACGCCGGAGTTTTGCCTGAGAACATCGAAATTGGACTCTAGAAGATTGGAAAAGGGGTATCTTCACTGATGAATCGAAAATAAATTTGAATCAGTTCGACGGAATCCAGTACGTTCGGTGGAAAACATAAGAAGAATTGCTTAAAAGTACTGGGATAACCAGAAACAAATTTCCAATGAGTTACATGGTTCAGGGTGGAGTTTATTACTATGGTTACAGTGAATTAGCATTTATAAAAGCTTCTTTAAATGCTTCTGGAGCCAGCAATGGATGGCTTGTTTCCTGTTTTCATCGACGGAATCTTTCAAGATGACTCTGCGCCATGCCACCGCGCAAAAAGCGTAAGTATTATGTTTGTTATAACCACTCTTCTTTTCTCTTTCAGATAAACAATAAATAAAACTTTTTAAAACATCTTATATTAAAGGTGAAAGAATATTTGGAGCGAGGCGGTATAAAAACTCTTAAATGGCCAGGAAATAGCCCAGATTTAAATCCTAACGAGAAATCAATCTACTTTTGCTGGAAAGACACCACCTCCCTCTCGATTATCTAGTTTGGATACATCAGTGTAGATGCTAATCCCTTCATTATCGCATATACTGTCTGCTCTTTGTATACTTTCCATACGCTTAACCGCGTATTTCTTTTTCATTATTGGCCATTAATATACCTTATGTCATTATTGGTAGTAGCCTAAGTAGCTTGCCTTATCTCCAATTGCTAGTCTGCTATCATTTAATACTGGCGCTGTAACAACTAGATTATTATGTTTTCTGGTGAACAATACTAGATCCGTCTTATTAGCATTTAAGTTTATTCCGCACGATACGGCCCAACGATTTATATCGTCTAGCCAGCGTCAGCGTAGGCCACAACATGTACCCCCTTCTTTTCTAGATCCAACGGAAGAAATCCAGAGGAGTGGGGATAGCAAGCTTCCGGGAGGTGTACCCTTTGGACAGATCTGCACATCGTTGACACTCCCAGCGTTGAAATTATTGACCTGGTCGTAAGCATCTGTTCAATTAGTTTTCTCAGAGGTTCAGAGATGTCCAGATCCTTAAGCGCACTCAGTATGGCTCTATGCTGGATATTATTGAAGGCTCCTGCTATATCTAAGAAGGCAATTAGAGAGTATTCTCTAACTCCCAGTGATTTTTTAATCTTCGCCACCACAAAGATTAGCGCTTCTGAAATCCTTTGGACTTGTATGCGAGCTTTTGCCTACCTTAGGTATATATATTACCTTGACTTCCCCCAAAGCGAAGGGATATAGTTTAAATGAAGCGCCCCCTTAAGAATGGTTACTAGCCAATCTATTATGTAATTCTGCGACTGCTGTAATTGAGCCGGTCATAGACCGTCTGTTTCCGGCGACTTGAAGGGCTTGAAGCTATTTCTTGCCCAGCGTACGTTGCTTTCTGCCACTATGTTTATAGGAGTGTAGTCTGCTCCGCTGTCTTGAGTATATTCTACAGTATGGCTTTTAGAGCAGCTTGGGAAGTAGGTATCCATTAATAGTCCTAATGACTCTGACTCGTCTCGGGAAAACTTTGCTAAATTGAACTGCTTTCTGCATTTTTTCTGTAATTTTTTAATTTCAGGAGACCACTAATTCTTCCCCTACTTCGTGTTATTGGACAAGCCACTTCTAATGGTTGCCGGCAAGATTCCGTGAATCGATCAACGAGGATGTTGAGATCCTCCCTACTTTTGGCTAAAACGGCCAACAGGTCAGGTAACAATACAGTAAAAAATGATTCCTTATCAGGAACATACCTAATAACGTTTACTTAGTAGCCTATGAAAATTCTGAAGAAAAAATTCATAAATACTTAGCAAATCATCATTTTAATGACTATAAAATAATAGAATACATTGATACTAAAACCGAAGAATTGAATTTGAAATTTCAAACTTAATAAATAAGTTACAAAATATATATACAGAAAGCCCTTCCGTAACAAAAATATTATTTGTAATACTTATTATAACCAACAGTTGCACAATATATAGATTATTTATTTAAAAATGAGCGAGCTGAAAATCAAGAAAAACTTTTTATGCAATTAAAAGAACAAATCAAATTTTTAATAAATCAGGACGGTTTATCTTAGGAAGGGGGGAATTAACGCAAGTCTCCACCCAGCAGTTTTATCGTAACTGTAAATAAAGTTGTATTTAACGTTTTCTGAATGGAAATTCATTTCTCCTATTTAAAAAAGAACAATCTTTTGTCTGCTTTTATATCCGAAGGAAAACTAAAAAAACTCGTTTATAACAGTTTATTTGTATAATAGTTTTTGCAATTCGCTACAGCACACTTCATTTTACTTTACTTTATTTACTTAATTGGCAATTATGTTGTCAATAGCTGAATGTGTTTATTTGTAAATGAGCCAAATATTTTTTGCAATATTATTCTATTCAGTTTACTAAAACGTTTTCAAAAAAGTGTAACCTTTTTTGTTTACAATTTACAAGCTGCTCTAAGCTTCTTCTCCTCAACTCAAAAGAATTACGTCACAATACGGCAGAATAGTGCAATTTGTTTTTGTAACAATTGTCACCTCCTAAACTGAAAAAAGTAACGGTAAATCATATTGCATTCTATCATTCTTGTAAATATTCAAACAAAAATATTCCTGAGAAGAAAAATGCTAGTTATTGAAAGGCGCTAAATATTTTTTTTAACAGCTAACTATCAATAACTAGCAAAGTTTCTGGAGGAAAAGCGTTTTTTAACCCAAAAAATTCTGTTAGTTTCTGCTAGCAGAAAATATCTGCTAGTAGTTTTCATATTGGGAGTGAGCGTGGTTATTATCTAATTTTACCCATTTTCCCAGCGATGGAAAAGTGATAAAAAGACGTCCTCCCTTTTTGTTGAGTTAGCTTCAGCGGTTTGGAAGATACAAATTACAATTTGGTATCTGAATTAAGTGCTTAGTTATGACACTTGATAGGTTGTCTTGTAATAGCTAAAAAAACTATTGTTTATTTCATACAAACAAAAAATGCATGTATTCTTAACATGTTCATAAAAAATATAAATAACATGTAAGGAATGGCTAAGTTCGGCTGTAACCGAACATTTTATATTTTTACTCAAATTTTGAAAAATCGTTCTTATGTTTTGTTGTATACGCTTATAATTGATTTTATATAAAATATTATCATGTTTAGCTTAAAAACAATAAATATTAACAACTTTAAAAATTATACTATTATATTAATTTGAATATAATATTTACAATATAAAACATAAATTTTTATATAGATTCTTATACATATATCCAAATTATATTTCTTTTCTGCTTATACTATTTAAATTCTATCATATATTTATACAATAATGTCTTATATAATAACAAATTGTACATATAATTTAAATTTTCTTAATTAGATTACTTACATATTTTTCTTAAAACTGTCTTAAAAACTACTGTCAAAATTCCTATACCATTCCAATTCCATTATATTTGGAAAAAAAATTAAGAACTATTGCACTAAGTCTGAAAACTTTAGTTCGAAATAGAGACACAAATACTGTCATAATAGCTGTGTACTGTTTTAAAAGTAATTCCATTTACACGGGAAGGATCCATGTTTGAAAATGCCCAATCGATTTGTGTACCGGCAGGTGTAGTTGAATATTCTGCACCAAGCAGGGAACAAAAGTTTTTTTCTTGGAGCAGATTTCTTATTTCAGTCCCTGTAGACATTAAACAAATGTTAAAATCTCCAACAATTAGCACATTATGATTGCATAACTCAGAAGTAACGGCTGTCTGAAGTTCTACGATTAAATGTCTGACAGAGAAAGTGGAATTTCTGTATAGAACCAAAATATTAATATTGAAATATTTAAACAAACCCGCTTTTAAAACTTTGCGGTCTAATTGAATTTTCTAACAGCTATTAGTTTTATAGAGCTAGCAATACTGTGCTTTGCATATTGGCTAGATGAGTTACGCCTCCGCCTCAATACACGCCGCTGAGCGCAACAAACCACAATTAACCTGCGGCCTTCACGGCCTTTATAACTCCTATGGATTTGACCTTGCTCGACACGGACTTAGCTTGGACTATTAGATGGATCGGTTTGAACCCTGGCTGGTGGTCGTGTATTCTGTCACCTGAGTATGTAGGGTGACACCCTGCAGAAATGGCTGATGGGCTAATACCAAGGCCGCTCCGTCCCGTTAAAACCATGGCAGGCCTCAGAGTACGTTACCTCCTGTCATCATTAAGTTGGTGTGGTAGGTGTTTGTTGAGATGATCCTTCTTTGCGCTGGTCGGCTCTGAACGCACTGCCTCATAAGGGCGTGCGTCAACCTCGCTTGGCCTCGTAACCGAGACAACCTTGGGACCATTTAAAGGCGATTACCTTTCAGGAGACGGATAGCGGGTCTGGAGTGGGGACCACATTACAATGAACACAAAACAACAACAAAAATTAAACAAGGACGAGGGAGAAGCGGGTCGAAATCGACCTCTCTAAAAGTGGACAGTTCCTGAGGGGCATCCTCACCGATGGGGACGAAACCGTCCGCCAAAGGGTGAGAAGAATAATTCCGGGGTGACCGGCTTACCATCGCTAGGGGCGGTAACGTGGGGAGTGGCAGGAATCTGCCGACGGACACCTTAGGCGGCAGAAGTGCGCGGCGAATCGCCAGCACTAGCAGAGGAACCTCTGTAAAATACATGGGGCGCGGGTTCTCAGTGAAAGCTAAGGGCTCCAGGGGGAACGCCAGACTACAGCTAAAGCTGAAGTCGGACCGTCGCCTGGCTACCAAGATTTTGGAGCGCTACGGTGGCAAGCAGGCTGACCAGGAAACTGATCAGCATGCTAGCACACTTGAGGGGCCAAATGGTGCTAAGCGACGTCATGTCGGAAAGGGGGCCGAGCGTACCGCCCGAGTCGATGAGCGACAGAGGTCGCAGAAGGGGAATCCTCCTCGGTAAGAAGCCCGAGTCGAGCGGCACCGATGTTAGCGAATCGCTAAACTCGCCAGCTCAATTGAGCTCGGGGTATACGACAGCAGCAGGGAATGGACATCTCCATGAAGAGTGGAAGCGGGTAGCGCTGCATCTCCGCATTGTTCATGAAGGTGGTCAGGGAAGCCCTGGACACCTAGAATGTGAAAGTGCCGGGTGGAATCTCGGCTTACACAAACTTGTAAGGTGTGCCGACGAACGGTCGGCATTCCTTTATAAGGAGGCGGTAGCCAGGGTGGGGGAAGTATGGAAGGGAGCAAGGCTCGAGGCGGTGGCCAAATCGGATCTTCCGATGTGACCTCGTGCTCGTGTCTGGCTTCCGGCCGAACCCTCCACCCTGACCGAAATTGAAGAGATATTGCGGTACTTCAATCCATCTCTTCCCACCCTGGACTGGAAGGTGGTTAGGCTGGAGAGGACCGAGGAACCATATCGGCAAGCGCTGATACTCCTAAATAAGGAGTCCATCGCTCCTCTCAGCAGTGCAAAGGGGGCCATAAGCTATGGCTTCGAGAGTGTCGTCCTTAGGATTCTCCCAAATGAAGCCAGGGCTGATGGCCCGTCGCCACCAGCTGAGGTGGAAGAGAGTGGGAGAGCGACCCACTCTAATAAGGATACCGACCCCATCCTCTCGGATACAGTGAGCACGGGGGGCGGATCGTCAGTCGATGATGGATCCGTTTTCAGTCTCGACCGTCTGTTTGAGGCTGCTGGGGTCGATAGTACGGATGAAGGTGCGGAACTCGCACTGCTGGAGAAGAGTTTGGAGGATGAGGATCCTCCAAATTAACCTCCAGCACTCGAAGGCGGCCTCCGCCGATCT